AACTACATAATAAGAAGAGGTATCGATACACAGTAAAGTGTGATGAGATTTTGGATGTTCAGCGCTAGTGACGATGTAATTTTTATTGGATTTCACTAAATCAATCATAGGTAAATACGAGTATAAATATGTTGAATTTCTCTTGTTCTTAGCCAGTCATACTCCTCTTCATCTACTCCTGATAACATGTTAATATAGCGAAGTCATTAAAGTTACACAGCTGTATCTTTATTACTGTACTACCGGTATACTAAAGCCTAGCTATCATAGATTTTAGATCTGTATTAGTAGTATCCTAGATATATGCTCTGAGCGCGAACGCGGTGGCGGGAGGGGGCACTTGATTCAGTTGCCAGTGAGTTTATCAGAAGAATACCCGGCTACAGTACACGTCAGTTGAGCGCTGTCGCTCTGCGGCACTAGTTATATCAAACTGCTGCCAATATATTGAAAGCATGTCACTCAAGTGCTTTAAAGGCCAGGAACGTTTGCGTGGTCGTTTGAGTTAATTGTTTGCTGATCGAGATTGAAAACTTATTTTGTTTAGGGAGATGTAATGCTAATGATTTTGCTTAACTATTTGTAGCGATACCAACATCTCTTAGCTACAATATGGAGACCAGAAGACTGTTTGTAGGGATGGAGAATGGCACAATATCCGTATGTAGAATCTTGTATTTGGAATGTCAAAACCAGATGGTCAACACAATGTTTTAATTAGATGTGTGATCTCGGTTGCACTAAAATATGTGCTATGCAATATAATCATTACGTCTTTGTTTCTCTGATGAAGTTTTCAAGATTACTTGAAGATAACTTAGAGACAGGTAACATAACCATCAGGAGTAGATAATAGGGAAATTATTTTCTTATCCCTATATCCATAGATAATATCCCTATTATCTACTCCTGATAACCATAGTAGTATTTGATTTTTGATTTTTAGTATTTTTTCATTGTAGGAGTTTAGCCTTTCTGAAGACTATAACAGAATATCACACCAAAGAGATTATTTAGGTATGTCAGTACTGCAAGTTGCATAGATGGCTTCATTACTGGGTTTATCATTTAGAGTGTCTGTATAATCCAACAACAAGATGTATCTTAGAATAATGTCAGCTGATTACATTTTATCTTATAAAATAATTTAGTTTTGAAATAAATCCACCTGTGGGTAGAAACTATATCACTCCAGTAAAATGTTCGAATAATCTGAAAATTTACTCGATTTTAAATTATGTACATATTGAATCAGAGGTGCTGCGATTTTGAGCGATATTTTTGATGTGTAACTGAAATGATACATTTCACAGTGAGTGTCACATTGTTACATTGCAGCTCATCAGAGCAATGTTACGCAAGTGCACTTTGTGTTGCCGTGTGAGTGGGTGCTAAGCTGTGGGCGCGACAAGTACTTCACGTGGCATTGCTCCGAGACGGGACGAAGACTGGGCGGCTTCCAAGCAAATTCGTGGTGCACGGCATTGGAGTATCCTTCCAGCGGTTATTAAGCGGGCGAACTGGAACGTGACTTGTCCTTTTACACATGTTGCATCATTGCTGTGTCTCTATGTGTGCTTTTCATCTTGTTTCATATTTTGTAACCCATGAACGTGAATTCCATTCTATTCAGTTCTGTTTTGTTCTGTTATATTCTATTATATTATGTTTCCATTACCATTCTATTCTATTCTGATCTAGCCTGTCATATCCTATTCTATCCCATTCTATTCTATGCAGTTTGCTGTTGATGTGTGTTTGTGAGCTGTGTAAGAAATTGTTTGGTTGATCAGAACAAAAGTTTAAATGAAGTGCTATATTAGTAAGATTCCTTAATGCCTTCAGCTTTGATATTCAAACCAAGCATGCATTTATCGGGGACCTGTCGGGAGCTATCACGGTCTTGAAAGTTGACAATAATGACTATGTATACATCACAACACTAAAGGGACATTCAGGCAAATATACAAATTATTAGAAACATGTAACAACAGCAAGTATTTGCTTGGATAATAAGGCTTTTATATGATAAATCTAAATTTTATTACATGCAATTAATTGGATTAATATATATATATATATTAATTTAATAGTTTATAGTTAAATATGACGATGCTGAACATGTGGTGAGATAAACCAGTTGAATGATAGATATCTATTCATTGTTGCAGGCAGTATCAGGTGCTTAGCTTGGGATCCTGTAAAAAGACTCCTTTGCTCGGGAAGCTTCGACCAGTTGGTCATAGTGTGGGACATCGGAGGACAAAAGGGAACTGCATTTGAACTACAGGGACATCAGTGAGTGTCGTTACCAGTATAGTGTGTCACTTGGCTATGAAGTCTAGTAGGATGCAACTACCATGCCATGTAAGAGGGCTAACATGTAAAGCATCAGCCAGTCCCAGTGATTGCTGTGAATTTTCAATGGGAAAGTGTAGATATTTTGCTCACGTTCTCCACTTGATTTGCAGTCAGAAGGTGACCGGGCTGAGCTATGCTACTGGTACACAGCAGCTGTTTTCCGCTGCTGAGGATTGTATAATCATCACCTGGGACATGACCTTGCAGAGGAATGAGGTATTATTCCCAATATATACCTCACCTCACCCCATACCCTGCACAATTACGTTTTCGTGGTATTATTTTAATGGATAAGTTGAGGGAAATGAGTTAGTGAACAGGTTGTTGCACCTCGGTTGGTTATAAAAGTAAACATCTTGGTAATGTGGGGCATTTTTATTGTGAAGTATATTCTATATATATTAACATTGTAGCATTTGTTAGCCACTATTTGCAATATTTAAAAAAAAAGTTGCAAAATGTTCATACTTGTGATATCGTGTTTACGTAAAAATAATTGAGTCTGTAGCCTTACTTCAGTGTCATTTAGTGCCTAAGGTCAAGTGCCATTTCATTTAAAAAAAACTGGCTAGGCTGTGTTTCTGCGTAAAATTACCTTTTAAGAAAAACCACGAATTCCATCTTGTTTTCATCTGCAGACGCCGGATTGGTTGGACAGTGACACCTGCCAGAAATGTGGTGAGCCATTCTTCTGGAATGTTAAAGACATGTGGGATAGGAAAACCATTGGGGTCAGACAGGTAAATGATCCTATGTTAGTGCCACTATGACATTACAATAGCCTTGACCCCCTCTATTGTCTTCCTGCAAGCTTCAGAATTTGGGCCCATTTGACTTCAGAAGCTGGTTATATTTTGCTAGACATAACAGGTCTGTGCGCTGTTTACTGGTGGTGTAAGTAACCTTACCAACGCTCATGCAGCCACTTAAAAACTGCGAAGGGCAAGCACTGTCTCTTTTGGAAAAGTAAAAGCTTTACTATAGTATAAAATAAATCGGCACTGGAGCTAACTTTGCTTGTTATTTGCATGTATAAATATCAGTATGGGATTAATAATATTATGTAAGTAAATCCTTTTCTAGGAAGTTGATCAAAGTGTGGGTGTGAGAAAGTAATTCAGCTGCGCTTCTTTTCAGCACCATTGCCGCAAGTGTGGGCGTGCGGTATGTGACAAGTGCAGTGCACATCGGTCACGTTTGCCGCTGCTAGGTCACGAGTTTGAAGTCAGGGTGTGTGACGACTGCGTTAGATCGTTATCAGAAGATGAGTAAGTATAGGGAATGTAATCTGTAACCCTGATAAATGTTATATTAGAAGTAAGTAACATAATCTTACTGAGAAAAAAGTAAAAATATAAAAGGTGTGTACAAAATTGGTAACAGAGTCTGACCTAATAAAAATTGGGTAAGTAGTAGAGTAACAGGTAATGTAATGTTTTCTATGATGAGATGGGTGAGTAATAGGTAATTAACATTGTCTAACCTAACGTGAACCCTATGCAAGGCACAAGGGGGTCTGAGAGTTGGCGTAGATATATAATTTGATATGCAATTCCTCGAAGTAATGACAATATTACAAAGATTCGCTGGGATGTCATTAAAGTTGCTTGTTAGCACTCACATGCACTGCATGGTATTTTTATTTCTCAGCAAAAAGTCACATGCGCTCTTCCACGATGCAAGACATCACGTTGTGTGTATGAACTTGGACGAAACAACTGGGCGTCTAGTGACAGCTGGGACAGACTCGGTTATCAAGGTCAGTGAATGTTACATGTAACGCAGCCACGTTGGAATTGATGCCACAATTGAGCTATGTGATGGCAGCTTCATTATAATCTTTCAAAGTGTGTTTGTGTTATCACTACATCTGTAGAATGTCAAGCATGCCTGCATATATATATATGCTGGCCTGTAAGTGTAAGCTAACAGTATGTTGCCCAGTATAAGAGACTTGGGTTACTGGTACATGTCTACAATAACTTGCATCCTTACATGCATCACTCTAGTGATTTTTTTTTCCATCCGTACTAAATTTAAATGCTGTACATCGTGTCCGTAAAGTACATGTTAAATTGGCATTTATCTTATATAGTATACTATTGTAGCAGATATATCCCTCATAGTATAATGCAGCTATTCTTGAAACTGTATCGTGTTTATGTCAGATGTGTGATTTCTTTGATTGCAGATATGGGATGTCTCGCATATGGTTAATCCATGAGGAGATGTGGCTTTGCAATGATCAGTACTGTGCGGGAAGCATCATGTGACAGCAAGACCTGCTGGAGTTGCGTGCCTCGGGTGAGACACCAACGTGATGAGACATTGAGACGTCACATCGATACGCAGGCGCGCATTAAGGCGCATGCTTGCAGACGTCTAATGGCAGTTAGAAAATGTCATGTAATAGTAATGTGTATAACATCTTATGTAATCGTGTAGCATGGTTGTTCGTGTATGACGCCGAGTAACTGCACATATACAAATAGCTTTAATATAAAATACCACACGTGTTGTAGGTTGCCAACAAGTCCAAACAGGTATTTCAGTTTGGCTTTGCTTCAAGAAAGCATAAAAATGTCACCGTACTTATGTTATAAACAGTAACAAATGCTACTACTGGGCTGAATTTCATTATTGGATTTGTAACACACAGGGTGAATGCCATATTCCAGAAAAATATTCACAAATAGGCACCACATAGCTTGGCTTGTATTTCACTGTAAATACTTGATGTGATACATGCAAAAGTCTCATGCTTCTGCTGCTGTTATGAAGGTGGGATCTGGCAGGTCTGAGCAGCTATGACCTCTGAGGCACGTTTGTTTCACCAAGTAGGCTTGTGTTGTTTGACTGTCCTGGTTTTCACATATATATATATATATACCAGGTATAAGGACATGTGGGGTGGATCTCTACACTCGTCCTAATATTTATTACCATAAAATACAGTTACATAGTGTGGTATAAAACTGACATGACATTTTCATCACTTAATCATCAGTGACACGTGCAACCTTCTAATGGCCTGTTATGTCACTATATAGCAACCATTTAGCTATAATTTTATACTGTGGCATCCCCATGTTAACAGTTGCAGCTGTTAACGGAATTAAGTGATAGAATACTTTCGCATTTATATATATGCGTGCTTTGACTATATTCTTAAACACAGCATGATGCAGAGACCTGTTGACTAATCAGATATATATGATGCCACAATCAACCTTGTATTGTAACACTCAATCTTATTAATAGCGAAATTACAGCGAATGTACTCATTGGTTTTCATTATGAATGTGCATTACTTGAAAGTGCAAGTAATGGTTAATTGTCTCTAATATAATGTGCAGGAAGTGTACTAGCAGCTCCATTATAACACTTCACGTATACTGCTGTGATTGATAGTATCTGAGTCAGACATTATAATGGAGATAAACTAGATTTACATTACGTACTATAGTCGCATGCAAGCTGCATATTCTATCCCGACTTGTTTGTATTGACATGAACCTATGCTTAGTTAATCATGCTTCCCCGGTACAGGAATTATGTCAGATTGTCTGGTCGACATACGGATGTCTAGTGATTTTATTTATAGTTCAAACATGTTTAGGCTATTTTTATTTAATGGTGTAAATTTATAAGTTTTAATTTAATATACAAAGAGAGCAGCAAACATGATCACATTGTATGGGCATCACGATTGTTTTGATGTCAAGAAAATTATACAGATTTTATTGGAAACGTTGAGAAATTTACCATGCTACATTAAACAAAGTTCAAATGTTATGTCATGATATCACGCTTCGTATCTGCTATGAGAATGACAGCATTTCTTTCAGTACCCTATCCTACTCTTCCGATTTTATCTCTCACCCTCTATATCTCCTGTTCTACCTTACCGGCACCCTTCTGATCCTATCTTTCTTATACACTAATCTTTAGACTTTTTCAGACAACACAATCATTTTATTTGCCCTGGTTATTTTAATGTAACTGTAAGTCTTCCCTATGTGTACACGTGTTTGTAGGTGGAAAAGGAATCTGTCATAGTAATTGCGGATATGAATTTTATGTTGTAAGGGTTGTTTTAAATATAATACTGTAGGGTCAAAACGCAGTTTAAGATTTATTATCCCGTCATTAGAAAACTGCTTTGAAGAGTTTGGAATATTAAGCTGCATCACACATTCCGTATTTTGTAAAAAAAAAGCGAGTTGTTGGTTGATAGTTGAATCAATAAAATAAACATTTCGTTGGTCAATATAAAACCTTGTCTTGTGTCATTTACTGTGATTTACACAAGTCAACGATAGATATTCCCTAAAATGTGTGCGTGCGTGTGTGAATCGTGCCTCATGGGTTGAAGTGTACGGCTTTGTCTTGAATATCTCTTAAATCAATACATACATCACTCAGTGATAGTGTTCTCAGGGATATCCATAGAAATATATAGAAACACTATATATTATTTCTATGGGTGTACCTCACTGATCTCTATAAATAACTGTTATTTATAGAGATCAGTGGTGTACCTATGGTCGTAATTTCGTATTATATTTGGCGAGTTTTAGACGAATATTTCCACTAGATGGCGCTGAATTTCAATAACTTCAGCGCCGTCTTTTGGTGATGTGTTAGACTGGCTCCGTTCTCTGTGCTTTATTAGTAGTTTAGTGTAGAATAGCATAGATTGTCAATATGTAAAGACGGTGCCCATCTACTGATTTTTGACTACTTGGCTTGATACAGTTTGTTGTCACTATTTTTGTTCTTACTCCACGGATTAACTCAATGAGTTACAACTACTAAATATGACTGTATCATGCGTAAAACTATCGTCAGATGCCTTTATGGTGTGTCTTACACACGCGCTATCAACAGAGAACGAAGAGGTGATGGGTCTATGTATTGGGGAAGTCGACGAAAACAGAGTGTCTCATATTTCTGCAGTGATGCTGCTTCGTAGGTATGACATTCTGGGTTCTCTGTGTTTGAAAGGCTGAGCCGGATGCGTGCACACCTTAATGTGGTACCGTAAATTGTGCACCGAAAATTTGTATAGTCTAACGTTATTCCAGAGAGACCGGGTACAAGATGGCGTTGCGCAAAAGATACGTTGTTCCCCGACCGCCGAGAGCGGTTAAGCGGCGCACTTCCGCGGGACTGGGCGCACGCGACCGCGCGGTGTTGTATGTAGCATCTCGCGCTGCCCGCTATACGAATTCGCGCGCCGAAGGAGGGCGGGCGCGCGAATCCGTATAACGGGAAGCGTAACATCGCACAGTTTTCGTCACACGTACACCGGCTTGACTACGGCGGCCTTGGGGGGGAGCCGGGTCAATAAGGTATCTATATAATATACATGCATCAATGCTGCCGCAGCCAGGCACACAGGCACTTGCAGCATTTCAATAAAATATAATGCTAAATAAATACGAAATGTATTTACTACGAAAGTCACCACGAAGTCTACCGAGAATGTCAACGCTAGCCAGCCGATTACGGCTCGAGCGGGCAGCGTAACATCGTGCAGTTTTTGGGACACGTACACCGGCTCGGCTACGGCCGACTTATGATTATGATTATTAAAAACTCATTATTGCATGAATTCAGATACGAATACATGTACTGACATGTACAACACATCTGATAAAAGCGTGACGACTTGTTATTTTATGTTATTTAAATAATAAGCCGCTCGCGCCGTCCCGCGGCGCAAAAACTCCCCGAGCCAGCGTTTGTTGGAGATAGCATTTTGACCGTGCCCGGCTACGTGCGCGCGGGGGGGAGGAGGTGGGCTGGAATGTCGTGCTCCGCCGTCTTCGTAAAAACATGTGCATATATATATTTGTGTGTCAGTGTGGTGGCGTATTTCTGTATGTCGCGCATATTGTCACCTGGCGTAACTAACAATTGTCACCTAGTCACGTCATGCACGACTTACACGAAGTTGTCGGCAATAATAGGTGAAACACAGTAGAGTTTTATGATAGAGAACTATGAACATTCACAGTTTCGTACTAAATAGATATCGTTTTTATTTAGCATTATCGCCGTAGGCGTATTCGTTAAACGCGTATGCTGAAAAGCCGCGACCGCAAAAACTCGGCGAGCTGCGAGTCACGCCGTCAGCCAGGCGCCACGGGCAGCGCGGGGGGAGGAGGGGGGCTGTTCGTAAAAACATGTCTGATTGACATGACGCTTTGTTCGGCAACGGACGACGTACGCAGCCAGGCACGCGGCGGCGGCGGTTTTGGATATAGCATCTAGACCGTGCCCGCCCGCGTGCAGCGCCATACCAGACTTGGTTAAAACCTCTGTGATAGACATAACGCTATACTCGGCAGTAGCCCACGTCATTGCGTAGCGGCGAATGAGTGACAGCATTTCTTGGGGTTTCTAGTAGGAGCCACTATGTGTTACCCGTAAGGCGCGCCATCGCCAAAAATTTTTAGGGGCCGTTTGGAGATGGCCTCTAGCCGTCGATGGCGAAATGTCGGTTGGATTCCGCCCCGTTTTCGCGGAGTTCGTTTTCAGGCCCCTGTCTAAGATATCTGTCTAAGTGGACAAAAAGCGGGCGGCGTATTCGCTGTGGGGGAGCGGCTTCGCCGCGCGCTGTGCGCTGCGCGCAACTACCGGGTCCGCATGTCCGTCTAGGTTGGCAATACAAGAGCCCCGATAGAATCAATCATTCAATGGTCCACTGTTTCTCACTGTGTAACACTGAATTCAAATAAATGTATACACTTCTCGCTTTATTAAAATCTTACATTACAAAGCACTTATCAATACCATGCACTATCAACTTCTTATTTTATCCTTTTTCCTATGAAAATATCACAGCATTAACTTTTCCAAACTTCATCAGAACAAATTAGGTGTAATCTTGCCTTGAATATGCACTGGCCGGCAATGATGTAATTGGTTGTTGTGACTTACCACTTGATTCACTCGAAAAAACTTAAGTCTTGTCTATCTGTTTTTTAGATCTGACAAGAGGAAGGATAGGGTGGAAATTTCACCGGAGCAGTTGTCAAATGCCGCGATACATGCTGAAATCCTGACTGCCGAACTCAAGCGACCGATGAGAGTCCTGGGTTGGTACCATTCCCACCCACACATTACAGTCTGGCCATCACACGTGGACGTTAGAACACAGGTATTATTTCTATTGTATTATAGTTAGTATATATATATATATATATATCGTGTATTTGTCTGTCTCTTCTTTCTGTCTGCCTGTTTGCTGTCTGTCTGTCTGCCAGCTTGCCTTCCCACCTGCCTGTCTCGTTTATACTATTAATCAGATCTAATAAACCCATGACAGGCGATGTACCAGCTCATGGACGAGTGCTTCGTGGGCCTCATATTCTAATAATCAGATCTAATAAACCCGTGACAGGCGATGTACCAGCTCATGGACGAGTGCTTCGTGGGCCTCATATTCTCGACGTTCAACGAGGACAAGAAGAGCAAGCAGCAGCGCATCCAGGTCACGTGCTTTCAGTCGACCAATCACAGCCCGGAGGGCGAGCCGCCGATGTACGAGCGCATCGAGGTGCCGCTGCAGGTGGCGCCCTCCAGCCACATCAGCCGCGAGAGCATGCAGTCGCTCGTCACGCTTCCCGGCATTCTCACGGAGGAGGAGTCGGAGGCATACACGAGCACGTTCGCTAGCAAGGACCTCGACCTCGTCACGCGGCTACACAACAGCGCCGTCTTCACCAAGTCCATCTGCCACATGATGGAGGTGCTGACGGGCCCGCTCATGCAGAGCCTCGAGAACCGGTGCGAACACGACAAGAGGCTAGCCGCGCAGCTGCTCACGAGAAAACAAGAGCTGGAGCGTCAACTCGAAGAGCTGTCCTGACCGGGAGCGCCGCGACCTTGATCGACTCGAGGAGCTGTCTTAACCGGGAGGACGTCGCGACCTTGATCGTACAAAGACCGGCGGAGAAAGACCGGCTATATTTTTTTAGTAGATTTCTGGTCGGGTATTGATCAGTGTTGTCGGAATTATCGAGAGTAAGATGATAATAATGTGATCTGTTATTATAGAGGTAGATCTGTAATTATATATGTGTAAAAATTTTGATAGATTTATGCTGCCGTTTCTCATTGCTTGTGGCTTACAAAGTAGATTGAAGTAACAGTATGAACATGCATAACTATTGTTTACTGACTTGTTAGACGTTCATATTCATCACAAGACTAAGTGTTAAAATGGATTAAATTTTCGTTCACAATTCAGTTACAGATAGCAAAGAAATCTCGACCAAATTATTATAACTTTGCTTATATTGTTAATATATTTTGGTTTATTTTGAAATTACCTTGGACATTTTTATAATTGGAGCATAAAATATTCATGGCCGCTAGAAAGTGGGTTGTAGTTTTAATTTTGGTCGGCTACTGCAGGCATTTCAGTTCATGTTGTGATCATACACAGCTATGGTAACGGTTTATTTCTGTCGTGGTATTTCTACTGAAACACTGTAATCCTTGTTTCTATCATATCTGCGGTTGTATATCGATTCGCATAGCCTGAAATTCATCTTTCATGTAATCCTGATGTAATGAACCTTGTAAAAGTGTTATGCGTAAATGTTCTCACTAGATGGCACCACGAGTTGGTTCCATGGTTCCACGTCTAGTTCCACGTCTAGTTCCACGCAAATCCAGATAGACTTCTTATCTCTCGATCTTTGGTTCTACCATATGTTCCACAGAGATCGGAACTTAGTCAGCGTATTTCGTGCAGTTCCGTGCACTAGTCTTTGCTGAAGACCAGTGACTGATGAAATGGTCGTATGCTAATAGTTTTTAAGCCACATGCAGGCTTATTGTTTTTAAGGTTGGTTAATGGATCTGGCTATTCGGGCCACGAGAAATATGCGGCTGTTCATAGCGACCGGTAGTCAGCAAGTTTAGATCGGCTCTAAAAAAATCTGGCTTTATGAATCTAGCTGAGGCGCCTTACAGACGGCATTTGTAGAGAGCTTGCCTACGTAAGGTAGCCTACGCTACAATGATACATGTAACTCTAGATTCATTCCGGCTCACATTCCCTGATCGCCCATGTCAAACCATACATATAACCAGTCAAACATATAGATGATGTAATACAGTAATGCTGAAGGGGTCGTTGTCGTATCAGGTACTACATATATGTACCCGAGGTACATATTATATGTATACACAAAGTGTACCAGACTTGTACTACAGAAGTGTACCCTAACCCTAACCCTAACCCTAAACATACCTCATATAAAAATATAAACATATATATTATGTATGTATGTATGTGTTTATGTGTGTGTGTGTGTGTGTGTGCGTGCGTGCGTGCGTGCGTGCGTGCGTGCGTGCGTGTATGTATGCATGCATGACTGGGAACCTTTAGATCGGTATTTCCCTGCAAATAATTAAAAAAAAAAATCATTCCGTGCCCCCCCTTTAATATAGGTTTGTGAGTGCAGCTCGGGTGCAGCTGATCTAGCTCCCCAAAGTATCTCCAGGTACTGTTTAGTAAGCTGAACTATAGTAATATTACCAATAAGGCTGCTGCCAACCCTAAACCCCAGGAGAGTTTTCAAGAGCTCCTCCTGCATGTCATGTGAGGTTTCTGTTGCCTTTACGTTAAACCTGTTACGTTTAATCATATTAAAAAAACGTTTTCTATGGTTTTCATAACAAAAAAAACTAAACAACCTAAAACTACCTCGGCTACATATATGTAGTACCTGATACGACAACGACCCTTCGTGCTACAGTAATCATTATCTATGGTATTAAAGTCCAAGTACCAGGTCTTAAGGAAAGAAACTGTAGTAAAAAATTTATAATATTTCGTATAACTGAAATAACGAATTGTGAATAAGTGTATATTGAGTTGTGTTTGAATGCAACATCCTATGGCTGAGAGGGTCTATGTCCCCCAGGGTACTGCCGGAACGTACCCTGGGTAAGGTCCGGTATACCGGAACGTACCCTGGGTAAGGTCCGGTATACCGGAACGTACCCTGGTACTATCTAATATGCCGGACCGTACCTCGCCTACTCCACTAACGCGTCCCAACTGCATGCACTGCACAGTGCACCTTCGTACATTGAGCCCATGAGCGAGAGCGCCATCTGTCGTGGAGTTTGTAACGAGTCTAGGGAGTCGCCTACGCCTACTCCCTAACCCTAACCCTAATCCTAATCCTAACCCTAACCATATCAAGTAGTGACCAGGATACGTTCCGGTATACCGGACCGTACCCAGGGTACGTTCCGGCAGTACCCTGGGGGGGCATAGACCCTATGAGCCATACGCGCTTACGATCAGTCTTTTATGTCATGAAACTCCTGTTATTGTTTGTATTAGTATACCTTTTTGGCGCGGAGGTGTGATATTATAGGTTTATTTAAGATGAAAATTGTAAATGAATGCTCCGTGCTTGTCTTAAAAAGTTTTAAATAAAAAAAATCAAGCGTAGACAAACCGGAATTTTTCTTGTATCTAAAACAGACTTGTGTTCGCTATCAGTACTCAGTGCTCACTGTACCTTTGTACACCCACTGTCCTTGCGACTATGGCTCCTGTTTTCTGGTGACTGCAGTGAGTACTACATGTAATGCTTTTTGTGTAAAAAATGCACACTAGAGACGTTATTGAGTCCTGCCCGCGGGCGAGGAGTTAATTCCTCCACACAAAGGCGCCACCCTATCAGATTATGATGCATTCAGCAGAGACGAGGAGCACAGATGCGAGCAGGTGCTCGCAAGGAAGATTCTCTTTCGAAAAGCTCTCTCTCTCCCAAAGTACTGGCCCTCTTTGAGCTCTCCGCTTTGTTGCATTACACGTATGTATAGAATGCCTAGCATTAGTCCCAAACTCATGCTATAAGTACGGGTGTCTTACTCAACCGAGTTAGTACGTGGTACGGGTCGATTGGTTCACATGTTGGACTGTATTTCTGCGCTTTTTCTTCGCATTTCTGTGTTACAATTAAATAAGTTAAATAATATTACCCCGCTCATGAGAACTCTGCGCGTAATGTGCGAATGTAAGTCACTATAGCTGGTTCTTCCAAACAATAACCAATACGTTGCTGCAGCACCACTGCTGCGGTGACTAGTATATAGGGCCCTACTTACTCAGCACATTAAGCCATCGGCGGTTGCCCTGCTTTCAGGGGATTGAGCATATTCTTTCTGATAGAGCTCTTTAGGATACTCCCTAGTAATTCATAATTTATTCGTCTATGAATCTCAATTTTACGGCGATATATTTTTCCGCCAATGTGCTACTGTTGGACTTGAGTGAAGATGTCGATGTGCCCCCATGCGGCCCTCCCCCCAGTTGAAGCTCCTACTGTTAGTTTAATTGTTGGTAATCGCATGGAATCAGAAGTACCCGAATAGAGATATTCATGTGCTCCTGATGGATCCAAATACAAGCTCGGGTAAATTTTAATAAAGTCAATCGACTGTTTTCATCCACTATACTTCAGTTACATCAGAAGTAGATAAATAGGGAATCTATTCCCTATTATCTACTTCTGGTTACATGTAACTCATTTCAAGAGCAGTTATTCACGATCTCGGTAGGTTAGGGAGAGCTGCATCAATAGAAGATCCGCCGTAAACGGTAACCTACTTTAGATGACATTTTGGCCTCCAGGTCAGAGCCTGATACCCACTGGGTGCAGCAGCTACCGCCCCCCCCCCCACACCCCTTCGTCCACACACACGCACACACACATATACCGCCCCCCCCCCCACACCCCTTCGTCCCACAAGGGAAGCTTAGCTACCCCGAGTCGGGAACCTTATCTGGAATTAACATCATGATAGATTGATGCACCAGGGGTCAGGCTGAAGTCCTTCTAGGTCCTAGACGCTTCTGCTTTGTATTTAATATAATAATTAGATATAATGAAACTTTCGATGAGAAAAACTCTTGAAGAATTATGGGATAATAACGCCGGTCTTCCCTTCGACTATACTGTCTATTGGGAATGAGATTATACGAGCGATAAATTAAGGGCAGCGACCCAATCTAGCTATCAAAGCTTTATATGTACAAATAAAGGTTAATCACTATTGCTAAAGACAATAATTATAAGGCTATATAACACTGTTCATATAAATCGCCGACGACAGCGTTGTATGCAGCAAAATATCAAGGGGATAGTATGTTGGATAGCCACAAGGTGGTTTTTAAGCCCAAATACTTTTATATGTGTGATTTATTATTTATATGTGTATGGATATAAATAGGTCATTTATAACTCTTTAATATTAACTTAGTGATGCTCTGAAGGGCCCGATTGAGGTCCTTATTTGCAGGTCCTAGATGCTTTTATTTTGTAATTATATATAGAAGTTCCAACAAGTACAGAAAATAAAAAAAGGACATAAAATTAAATGTTTCTGTACATCGTATATTTATTATTTACATACCTCACAAGTTAGAATACCTCTGTATATACAACAAAATATTATACTGGTAACAAAATTATTACAACTTTTTACATTTAACACATCGTTTGATTTTGTTCAATATTGCAACAGCACGCATCACACGTAAGACGGTATTACATACATACATATATATACTAAAAAAATATACCACTGCTAATAGTGGCATATATCTGACGCTGCTAACTAGTAATGAAAGTCTATTAAATTAGGCACTCGGAAGCGTTAGCTAATGTAAGATGATAGTGACCAACCGGTGGACGCCGAAAACCAGCAACAATGGCTGATGCGCGCGTCACGTGTCAACTCGATCACCAATCAAATTGTCTGCAGAAACATGCGAGATCAATAGTTATTAATACCTGCGCACACATAACCACCGTTACCAGATTCTGCTAAACGTATAAAGGTAATCTACCTGATACGATGAACAAACACGAACAAGTCCGTACAAACAAGATAAGTTGAGAGAGTTAGATTGACAAACATGATCTATGATCTCTACATAATGCGAACACGCCTATTACACCTATTTCATCACCAGACATTTTGCTTTGTAAGGAACTAGTCACTGTGTTTCCGAAATTTACATGAATATATACGCACATTGCCGCGACGCATTCCTAAATTAGCAAACGCGTAGTTAACCTTAAAAGACGAATAGCTATAACTTCGTGCGTGCAAAGCTGGCTTTAACAAACGCGCATAGCTGACTTCTCGGACACATACCAAACTTTGCAGACACAGCTAACTTTTCAGACACACATTTTTCTGTACGCCAGGCTTCCGCCGACAGCAGTTAGTGGGTCACGTGACAACCAGCCAAGAGCCATATCTCCACGCGACGTGTCCGCGCGCACCTGCACGTAAGGATGCAGGCTAACCCGCCCGCGTACGGTCCAATGGTGTGCCGGTCGATATTAGTGCCGCACAGTGGAACCACGGAGTGGCATGTCGCCCTAATCACACAGCCCGTCGGCTCGTGTAATTATAAAAGAATGGGTGATACGTTACCATTTGCTTGCACCAACTGGACATTTAGCCTCCGCTGTCTAATTGAACAGAGCGCAGTGTCTGACAAATGCTTCGGAGGCGCGCGACACTCGGCTCGACAACTTAGCATGACATTCCCGTGCAGTGTCACATATGTGAATGGTCTTCTTTTTCCCATCGGTCACGGCGCTATTCTAGCTGTCATTCGGCCACGACAATTCTATACACGCATGGACGCAATTGAGACTAGCAATTCAGACACGGCGCCGGTGGCGGCGCTGCAATAATCCGTTTCTAATTGAGCAGTTTGAGTGATTACTGTTTAATTACAAGCTCGAAACGCACAGACTACAAAGCGCAAAATCCGTGCTACTTGTCGGTCCGAGATTTCAAGTTTTGGTTATATATATATATATATATATATATACACACACACACCAACGCACAGCAACAGGGCTGAAGGTTGACTCGATAGCTGACGGCAATTCAAATCATGATTATTGCTAACAACGTAAGTACACACCCGGATTCTGAATGCGCGCGGTTGTGAGTGACTTTTCAGGTTAAGGACATTTTAGCGGTTAGGAACCAGTAAAAGGTTGAGAGTAATGATTACGAGCAAACGTCGCGCCATTCAGCGCTGGCGAGAAAAACACGTTCCGACGCGTGTACGGTTCAAATGGTTGACAAATGGCAGTAGACGGTTTCTGTGGGGGTACCTCCTGGATTTCTAAATCAGGTTTGCTAAGTGGGCGGCCGCGATAAGCGTGTTCGCAAATAATTACGGTATATGAACTGTGAAAAATATTCGGCGAAAGAGACGAACTACGTCGCGAACAGGTGTAATGCACACGGTGGCTGTAGCCCGACGACCAGGCTCTGAATGCTTGACATCCACTGTGTGTGCGTAACTACGGATAAGTTGGACAATACGTTCGTATACGAGGTGCATTGTGTAAATGCTAAACAACCGAGAACACTGTCATCTCTATTCACGGTCACATACATTAAAATAATCATACACCTGGGTGGGTGCGCGCAAGGGAGTTACAATACCGGAATAGCGCACGCACGTATGCACTCACACACTCCCTCACGCGCGCATGTAGTGTGTGTGTGTGTGTGTGTGTGTGTGTGTGTGTGTGTGTGTGTGTGTGTGTGTGTGTGTGTGAGTGTGCGTGCGTGCGGTGTGT